AGCTTCTTTTAAAAAAAAGAGATGGTATGCTTGTCATACAAAAATTCCCACATGCTCCCTAAACCTACTTACCTAATTCGTTATTCAGATAAATAGAATTATTTGTTGAGGATCCAACTTAACTTAAATTAGAAAATGTGACATTAGTCATATTTGTGAAAAAAAATGTGAGGTTGCTGTTCTTTTAAATATTTGGAGAAAAACAGTACAAGATAAAAAAAAATTAATTTTGTGACTCATGGTTCCTTAAGTTTAAAATAGTTTACAGCACTAAAAGTTTATTAAACAACATAAGCATTTGAATACTACATTAAATCATATGATTAATGTGATCAAACCCCAAATAGAGCCATAGGCTTTATATCTTTTAGCTGGTTTTTACCTTACGTACAAATCAGTTTGCATTGAGATGTCCCTCAAAAGTTATACATTTTAATTTTATGTTGAGCTTGTATTTTCTTGGATAACCTCTGTGCACATCTGCAGTTGGTATTTTAGCATATTTTGTATTATGGGTAATGTTTTTGTTTGCTACTCCGGCTCTTCCTTCAAGTATACAGGTACCACCTAATAGATTTCTTACCTTTTAATCTGCTAAGACTTCGAATCTGAAAGCAATGTTCAAGATACCAGAGAAAGAATTGGAGAAATTGTGAAGCAATTTGCTTGTGAAGAAACATACATTCTGAATATTTTAACCTTAAATCAAATTTATAACAAAAATGGGTTACAGTAAGATAAGTAAATTCAAACTGGTCCTTGCATAAAAAAAAGAGTTATATATGATACACACATTTATGCATATATAAATGGCCTCATTAGAATATTTAAATTTATTCATCTTAGTCTCTTGGCTATGTGCTAATTTTGGTTTTAGAGCTTTCTCTTTAAAAGTGTTTAAAACTTCTTAAGTACCTAAGTGTGCCAGCATCTTCACAGCCTACCCCATGAGATCAATATGTGGCTAAACTGATCAACGTATTCAAATCTCAAAAAAGTATGTTGGAACTTGAAGGAACTTTAAAGATGGTTTAGTCTAATTTCATCATGATAAAGAAATTGAGAACGAGAGAGATTAAGTGATCAGTGTAGTCATACCATACTAGTAACCCAAGGGACTTCAAATGTGGCTTTCCTAAATTCTTAGCTAGTATTCATTCTAAATCAATTAAATTCTGTTAGTACCTGCCAAAAAACAAGTAGTGGTTTTGAGACTGAGTCAGGTAATAAATGAAGGAGAGAGAAAGTATTACAAAGATGAATAAACTGCAGTCTCCTCAGAGTTTATTTTGTTGATAATTAGCTCTCTTCATTGTCGAACGTTTTTCTTTCCGGGCCTTGTTTTATCCTCCCCTCCCCCCTACACCCCTGCCCTCCATGATCGGGGAACATTTCAAGAGGTAATTTTACTTTCTCAGGAAGGATTCTCAGTGTTCTTTTTGTGTGTGTATTGGGTTGTTCCCTAAACTATTTTCAACCACACAGTACAGACTTAAACTGTAGCTAATTCCAATCACCTACAAGATCATACTCCATCTTGTCTCCTCTATGTTCTGTTTTTAAATTTTCTACCTGCATTTGAGGTCATTTATAACAGCAGCGATAAGAAACTGAGTCAGTCAGCAAAGAATTAAAAAAAAAAAAGTAGCATATTATTTCCTCTCTAGTCATGTTATGATTTAACAGTAAACTCTTGCTTCATGGCCAGTCCGTTCCTCCAGTTATTGAACAACTCATCTTCTTTCATCAGGATGAAACTTGATTTCATCAAGAACAAAGTTGATTCTTCCAACTTGGTTATACAGGGAATGGAAAGGAACCAGGGTGTGGAGGACCAGACATAGTGCTGTTTTCCAGAAATAAACCAATAACTTAAAAACTTACAACATTACGTAGTTGTATTCATCTAGAATGTACTACTGAGCCTAATCTTACACATAATAGCACTCAATACAGACTGATTTGGTTTTTGAAAGTATAGATATGGATGTAAGAG